CTTAAGAAAATATGAAGAACTCACTATTCAGAAAACACATAATCATAAAAAATATCTCCAGCTGGACACCTCTGGGTATTCAGTCATTCTGGTAAGTAGTGCTGTAGTAACACAACTGAGCACCGAAAAAATTAATTCTGAAAGACCTCTGCCCTGTACTAGCTAATATGCGTTTCTATAACCTGTAAAGGCACTCATATATAAACAACCTGTATAGGAAATTGTGTTCTTTTCTCATGTGTCCTTTTCTCTGTGTAATTTCTTTCCTTCTCCATTACTCAGAGGACAAGTAGGGATGAAAAGAATAAATCAGAATTACCATTCTCACAAAATAGTAGGCTGAAAAAGCATTGTCTCTCAGTAATTTCCATATAGAGACAGAACTTTGTAGTGTAAGAAATTGGACGGGAACCATAGTAAGTTTCAATTACATGAGCCTTGGTATTTTTAGCTAGAAAGAGAGGACAAATGATGAGTACAAGAGAGACGTAGAGCCCAAAGCACAACCATTTGTGCTGCAACTCACACCTGTTTGAACTTGGGGAGAAAAATATTCTGCTAATAAGAACAAGAATTTCTACAGCTAGAACAGATTTTATTTGATCCTCAGAAGTAGGATGACAGTTTTAACCTCCCTCCAAAGGCAGTCACATCTACAGCTAGGCCAATGACTATGTGGGATGCTGGGAAGTTTCTGAGAAGTGCTCATGCTAGTATGTGATGGAGAGTTGGTGCCTTAGGGCACTCATCAGCTGGTTTTAGAGTCCCAAGCCAGACACTTAGAAAATTCTGACATGGTGGAGCCCCAAAACAGTGTGGGCATTACTGTTGATGCTGCACCAGCATTTGGAGACCAGAACTGCTTCAAAATGGGCACAGTCCAAAAAAAAGGGGCACTTCTGCTCCACTAAACAACTCCAGTCCTGCTACTGTTTGTCTGGATGAAGGAATGACACTATATACTTGAGTTTAGGTCTGAGTATTTAAAGTACCAATGTGGTACTGAGGCTAATGAATAAATATCAGCAGTCTACCCTTCTCTTCCCTTTGGTTTAGTCACCAGTTGTCTAAATCCAGGTGAAAAGAGAATAACCTGGAAGTTTCTGCAGATTTAGTGGAGGTTTCTAAGCTTACTCTCAAATCTCAGGTGCCTTCTGGACCAAGAATAATTTTTCTTGTGTCATCACCCCCCAATCTCATAAAGATGCTCTTGAAAATCCATTTTTTTAAATGCACTGCCCCAAAAAAGCTTCTGGCAGTTTATTTTGAAAACATTGGGTATGCATTCTCACCCTAGGCTAGCTTTCCACTGGAAGAAATGAAGACACCTCATGTAAGTCCGAAACTTCGGTAAAAGTGACTATTTAGCAGAAAGTGTTATTGGCAACTGATGCAGACACAATACTAGATATGACAGATCATTGTCTGCACCTGAATGATTGTTTCTCATGGCTCTTAGTCCCACAAATATATCACTGTTTGGGCTGGCAAAATGAACTAAAAAGGATGCACTTACAGTGACTTTTGAAATCTTCATTGAGGATGATTCTACTATTATCTTTCCTTGTACTATAGCTGTGCCAGAGGCAAGTATGAAAATGTGAAGTGTCAGAACACAGGTACTGTCTGTACCTTCTTGTCTACAGAGAGACATCCAGACAGACAGCTAATTTCACAGTTTATCTTGAAAACACTTCAGACTTTTTTATTCTTGCCCCTCTAGTCTCGTATGTTACGTTTGCCAGTGCCTGTCGCAAGATGCTTAAGGAAGAGTATGAGATTCTTTCCATTACTTTGTTCTTAGAGAATTTGCTCATGGGAATGCCCCCAAGGCACTGCAAGAGATAATATGAAAATGGCTGCACTGAACCAGACCTGAAGGTGCAGCTCTTGACACACACCAGTTGTGATCACACAGCACAAGTACGCTGGTGGGCAAGCATATAGCCCATCACCTGTCAGTCTTAAGCACGCAGCAGTATCAGATTGGTTATCTTTATATCCAAATAATCTGCAACGTGTTTTTCATCTGAAGTTTTAGTATCCAGGGTATCTGCTAGCAAGGAACTCATTTGGCAAGGCAGTCTGTAAAGCTTTTTCTTACTTTTCATATGTCCTGTTCCTTGTACAGAAGGGGCAGTGAGCAACTTCCAAATTCATCATTGTTGTGGTTTATGAGCAGCACAGCGTGTATATTGGGCACTAGTGGGCTGTTGCAAGGAAGTAAGGATATGCTGGCATTTCATATTTTTATGAGAATAAAATCAGTTAGTCAAAATCAGTTTTCAAAGCCTACGTAACGTGAAACTGCAAATAAACTTCCCAGCACAGAAAGTCTGATTTTTGCATGAGACAGAAGGGAATTTAAAAAAAAAAAAAAGCATCCAGAAGTTAAGTATTAGGAAGATGTAGGATCCCCTCCTCACCAGGAGCTTAGGTGACAAAATTATTTCCCCCACCCAAAACATCTGCTTGAACATTATTTTTAGCTGTGAACATGATCTCCCTGTCATGACTGTAACAGTTTCCAAGTTGGAAGGGGGAACTGTACATCTATTCTTTACTCCAAAAGCATGAGGTAATGTGAATATTTCTGTGAAAATGATTTGATGGTCTACGTGAAGACACAGATGCAGAAGAGAGATTACCGAAGAATTTTAGGTAGATGTCTACAAATTCTTTGGCCCAGGCTATTGCCTTGCTGAGATAGAACAACACAATGTACATTACTCCCTTTTTAAAGTAGGTTGCCACAGCAGGGTTTTTGGTTGTTTTTTGTTTGTTTTTTCCCCCCCAAGCTTTATTTTAACATACAAATCAGATTTGTGTACAAGGCAAAATAGACCCCTACAGTGGTAGGCATATTGGGTCTCCACACAGCATGCGTAGCCACTTGTGTTACAGTAATCTTGAGATATGGAAAAAAGCCCTAAAATTTTTTTTTTTTTTAAAAAAGGCCAAAATATGTCCTTTTAATCACTCTTGCTATAATCACCTCCCTTTGGGAATTAAAACATTATACAGTTCCGAGTCAAGAAAACAAATGATCTACAAGCCAAATACCCAAGATACTTGTCTAATTCCCTGCTGTCATCTGGGTATACTAGCAAGAACACTTGGGGAACAAATCAAGAGATGCAAATATGCAAAGTTACTTCCTCAAGAATGCAAAGCATGTAGAAGAACAGTAAGGTATTTTTTGCTACCTTCAACTACTACTGTCTTCACAAATTGTGTGGTCAGTATGTCAAGCTTACAGATACTGTGAACTTTTTAATAAGCCCTCTACACTGTGTGTTAAGTTATTAAAAAAAAAACAAACTTCTTTTCACCATGAAGTTATGTAATACAGAAATATTTTTAAAAGCTTATGAAAGCAGTAGAACTGCAGACATTTAAAGTCCTGTCCCTAATATTAAAGGCTACTTGAACACCTCGTTTTACTACAAGACTGTATTTTCAGGTCATTAACTGACATGAAAAAAAAAAAGGAACAGTCTCTTTTTAAAAATAGTTAAAGATAGGGAAAAAGGTATAGATACAACATATAAAAATAAGTTATTATATATATTATGGCTTTCTCATTTAGTGGAAGAGTGCCATCATGGATTTAAACACTAGATGTTGTAACTAATTAACTCACCATGCTCTCAGACTTTCCTTGTGTGAGTTTTAATAATTGTGTGAAAAGAAACAACCAAATATTAGTAAGAAAATTAAGAAGCCTCCAGAACAATTTAAATAGCACGAAGCACTTGTAGGAGAAGTCTTCTTTCAGTGACCTTTTTTTCTTTAAAATTTTAATTTAATTTTTGAATAAATTTTAAATTGAAGTTTTAATTTAATTTAACCTCTTGGCACAAATAAGGGCCAAGCCAAACCTCCCATGAACTTCAGCGAGTCAAGACTTCATACTGAGCTTCACTTCAGAAATGTTTATACACAAGTATGATACCATTATGCTACTGACATAATGATTTCTCTTTAACGTTTGTTACGTTAATCATACAGCTAAGTTACTAATTAGATTTGGTATGCAGCTATCTCAAAAAGGCTGCAATGATGCTATAAAAACACGCTTCAAAACTACAACACAACTGCTCAATGTTAAGTGTTGTTCACTATGAATAAAAAGGAAGGGGTGGGGCACAAAAGATGTTTGAGTCAAAGACTGAAAGACCCCATCTACACCATGCTATATTAGTAATGGCTGAGTACAGTTACATTTTGAAGTCCAAAGTTGCATTCAAATTGAACGAGCTATGACAATATTCAAATACATGTAAATAAAAAGAACTTTTTTTTTAACTGCACTGTGAGGTTTTTATTACAACTTGTAATAAAGTTGTAATAAAAACCTCACAGTGCAGTTAAAGCAGCATTTGCAACAACAAAGTTCACAGCAGTCAAGCACAAATTTTAGACTTAGGAATATAGTAAGAAAGATCAGGGCACTGAATTTGGGAATATTTTCAAGCTCTAGTTTTACTCAGGATAGAAGAGCTGCCAGTTGAATAAAGTTAACTGAATACTCTACTTTCCAGCTCCTTATAAACAAGGCTCCACGTCACGCAGAAGATGAGCTTTCTCTCCCATTTTTCTCCAAGAAAAGTATCTGAAAGGCAAGCTACAGTGATTGTTTCTGACAGCAGTAAAATTAAGAAAGCAGATAAAAAAGTAGGTATATAAAAATTCTTCAGAAAAGGTATCCGTCCTGGTTTGATTTTGTCTATAAAAAGGCACATCATGTATTGTTAAAACTCTATTAATGTACTTATCCTTTTAGTTTTTCCATTAGAAGGATGTATTTCGAGGTGGTTAGCACAAGTATGCAAACATTCTTTATACGGTGTTTATCCATTACAAATTTTATAATTACATATAGTATCTTATACCATTTATTTAGAAGAAAAAGATTCATGTTCGAAATAATAGCAGGTCTTCATAGAATCCTTCTGTGACAATGGATGATCTGTCATAAGCAACACGCCACCTATAGTGAGTTCATGCTAATAAAATCAGCAGTGTAAGTTTTTCAGAAGTGAGTCCTCAGTCTTTTGTTTTCCTCTCGTAGTCTCTCAATTTCAGCTACTAAGCTTTCATTTACAGAATATCTTTCAAGTAAAGTGTGCATTTCATTCTAGAGGAAAAAAAAAAAGTCCCAATCAGTAGCTATAAAGTTAATTATTTCAGTTCTATCCTATCCATTTTCATATCCCTTTTGAAAATTAAATAACCTAGATAATAGTGTTTTTAAAAACTTTTCATAAGAAAAGTAAGGGTTTTTTATGCTCACGTACAGTATTTTGATCATTAACACATTAGTGAATATTTTATCAAAGGATATTTTGCACTTCTTCAGGACGAGACTCTACTAATGCAGGTTCCATTAAAATGTTCAGTACCAAGACAAGGTCTTTTTAATGCAGATCAAAAGAACAAAGATTCATAAAAAGGTGAAGTTAAAGAACACAGTTCAGTATGTATGCAATACCTCTAAGTGAAGATTTCTATTCAAATTTCATCTATCTCCTCCTTACCCCAGCTCTTGGTCCTTTCCAAAGGACAGTTGAATTTGTTTCCCTTTTGTCTTTTTATAAATCCTGAAATACGGAATTCATGATACCTACCCAATGGATATGTTCCATTTATTTATCAAACATAAAACAGTTTAACAAATTCCAATTCTTAGTTTCTCCCTCTTTCAAATCCAATCCTCCCCTTCTTGCTCTTAATAAGCAAAACCGATTTTCAGTTTTGAGAGAAGTTGGCATGCCTTGGTATTACTCAAAATGAAAACTGACGACATTTCCCACCGTGCTCTTTGTACCTACCAACTGCATGTGGAACTGCTTGATCATCTCCACTTGCAAATTCACAATATCTCGGTGGCATGCTTCTCTGGGGGAGGAATTGCAAAAGGACAATGCGTAGTTTTATTTAGGAAGCAGAAATTCTCTCCAAGCCTCAGCATCCAGAACTCCACACTTCCTCACTTTCCTAACATTGTGAAACATGACTAAAAATCCTTAAACCATGAAACATGATCCTCTACCACTTATTTTCTGAAATACTTTTGTTTATGACACTGACTTTGATAAGTACCGTTTTTTTGGTGTACAAAAAGACAGAATCTTTTCTGTTTAGAAGTATAAATATATACATGGCAATATCAAGAGTGTTTTCACTTGCAAGCTCTAAACATATCTCATTTTCACCATTCAAAGCTGATTTTCAATCCCTCCATCACAAGTACCACAGAAAAAGATATTTGGCTGTAACTGAAGATGCAGCTTTTCAGTATATCACTTTCAGCACTCTTTTGTAAGAGGGTCAAAAACATTGACTGTGTAAAGTGATACATTATCCTCAAGCCCACAGAATGCTCCAGGTTAATCTACGTAAGAATTAGTGGCAGTGGGGGTTTTTTGTCAATTCATGGGCAATAATTCCACACTACAAGAACCAAGCTTGGAAATACCCTCTGAACACTACACTAATACAAGCATTCCAGACACTGAGGAAGAACAAGGAAACCAGCTCACAAAAGAGCAGGCAAGCTTGTATGCTCTTCTGAACAGCACATCACAGTGCAATCATCTGAGACTGAATACTGTGCTATGGGTACCAACAGCCTGAGAAGGTAAGGCATTTCTTAAGTAGACACACACAGATCTTATTTCATTCTCCTTTCCTGAAACATATAGCAAATCCAAAGGGGATATATTCTTCACTTTCTATTTCCACAGGTTATTGTGCTTCAAAACTTCTACTGGAGGCAAACAACCTTCTTTGAGTGTATTGAGTATAGATACCAGCTGGCAGCTTAGAAACCCAAAGATGTAGATTATCTCCCAAAGACACAAAGATCAAGAAACAAGCAGCTTTTTGGAACCAAATGAGTTACATATTCCTCCTGGTCCTTTTCTAAGGTCCTTATTTTTTCCCCATTACTTGAAGAAGAATGGATTTCTGCCAAGAGCAATAAAAATCCTTTCCTCAGATTCTAGAGGGTGAAAGGTATTTATATCAATGAGAAGCTTGCAATGTCTCCTTTCCCTTTTACTGACCTCAGTACCAACAATCTTTTACAGTCAGTTTGGATGTATCCACAATTTACAACTGGGAAGAGATCCAGCAGAGCCTTCCAGCCACTTCAGGAAGCGTAGGTCAGAAGAGAAATGCAATCGCTGAGGCTCCAGATCTCAGATACTGGCAGTACAAGACTGACAAGCATACCTTTCAACACTGGGATGCCTGAACACAGACATTACAGAAAAAACATCTGCAATCCATAGACTACATTTTAATTCATGTGAAAGTTACAGTTTTTAATCGGATGTGTGATTACCACCAAAAAATCCCAGGAGAGTTTTACTATACTATATTCTTATTTAAAGACATTCAATGTACTTTGTTGGCAGATACAGAACAGCCATAGCACACAGACCTACTAAGCTAGTTTTGCATTGCTTTTTGTCATCAAGACAGCAACCCTTCCCCTGCCCAGCAATCCTTTTTCCCTCCAACATCTCAGTCAACCTACTTCATCTTAAACATGGGTTGGGAAGTGATCCCCTAGATAGAACTCTCTCAACTGCACCATCTCCTTCAAACTCCACTCTAAATCCATGCTAATATGACTTCTTTCATGACAAGTAGAATGTTAGTTAGGTATCCACAAACGATCACTTAAAGCACAGACATTATCTTAATGTAAAGCTTCACCAGTAGAAATACACACAGTATTATAACTTTTACATGCCAAGCTAACAACAATCAAAGCCAATACAAGACAACTGTCTATATCAAACACTCCACAATGTCAACTTTAAGAGAAATTTCTCCTGCTGGGACAGAGGATGAGTGGGGAAGGAAAGAAATCAACACACTGCTTCATGAAAGCAGTAAGGACCTACCTTGTTATGCAGATAAATTTACCATCTGAGAAGATGTATTCAAACACTTATTCCAAAAACGTTAGCAAAGCCACACATTAACAACCTCAGAGACATCAGTCTAATTAGTCAATCAGAGCTATTAAAAAGGGCTATCAATGGTATCATTTTCTAATGCAAGTAGAAATTTTTAAAACAGATGTTAGAACATCTTTCTGTCATTAAAAACAAAAATGTTCTGCATGAATACCAGTACCTGAAATCATCCATTGTTTCTTGAATCATATTCTGAATGAAGTTTATTTGGATTGATGTCAGAGGTGCATTTGGTCTGCTACTCCCAATGGTTTCTACTATTTTTTCTGACAATGAACTGGCAACTCCAGCAGTGACAGGTGATGTTATATTTGGACCTTTACAATCAAAAATAAAATAAAATAAAATTTAAAAATAAACTTAATTTTTAAAAAAAATAAGTATAATGGAGTAAAAGAGGGATTTTTTTATTTGTCTTGAGGCTCGTCAATATTTTTATCTCAAATATTACATAGTAAAAAAAAAAGTAATTTAGATTTAGAATGAGTTTTTTCAGAGGCAACTAGGGAAGTTCTAGGAGGGCGAACTGGATTTACAGAAGAATCAACACTGGATGTTCTGTTTTAATGCTAGGGCCATTTTATCAGGTTTCACATCAGTTCATAATCAACCATGCCTAAAACTTATCCAAAATGATCAACTTACTTGTTGAGGTAGTACCATTAACTGGTAGATCATATGCAGGATGGGCCTGAATATTCTTTACTAGTCTCTCATTTGTATCAGGAGCCTTTACAGCAGTAGATGATGGTGGAGGACTTAAAGTTACAGATTCTGCACTTGATGAGCTTGATTTTGAAAGCTGATAACAACAACAACAACAACAACAGTAACTCTTCTTATTACAATTATCTAATTGCACTTGAAGACTAAGTTTTCAGGATCAAACATTTTTGTTTTTATGAATCTACTCATAAATATATGCTTTTCAATTTCTAGCAAGACATCTTAAAAATTGATTGCTAAAACATTCAAAATTGCCTCAAGTGTGCACACACAGAAAGGAGTACAAAAGGCAGGGGCCTCAACTTTCACATCAAACATTTCGTGTCAAAGTTATAAACATCATTCCTAGCAAACTCAGACTTCTCAAAAGCAATACGAAAGGAGCTAGGGTCTCAGCAGAAGTATATAAAAAATAGCTCAAGAAGGAAGGAGGAGATGGAGAACAGGGAAAGAAGGGAGGGTGGAATTGACCTAATAAGCAACAAACAATCATACTTGCACAACCAACTAATGATCATTCCTGATTTTCTAGAAAAATCAAAATATTCCTCAGGCTAGCCCAGTTTTGTTTCGTGTGAACTTTTATAAACTGAGCTCATTTAACGAGAAACGCACATTTATCTTGCATTGCTGAAGGCAAACATGCTTAAACCGAATAACATTTTACAGATGTGTCAACAGTGTGAACAGAGTTGCAAAATAAGCTTAGCTGGGACACTATTAAGGATTTTTTTCTTCAAGTGGTAGTGTTCTGTCAAGATTCTAAAAAGACCACTCATAACAAGAATTAGTATAATATACCTGCTTTAAGACTTCTTTAGATTCTTGTTTTCCAAGATTTATTTTCTTAGTGTCAGTCTCTGGATGTTCTTCTTCTTCTTTAATTGGAGATCCCAAAAGTGCATGTAATGGGCTAGACTGTATCGCTTGTGCACTGCTGCCAACAGGGTTTCTTTTTACTGGAAGGGCAGTGGTGAGCTGTGGAAGAAAATCCAAACCCAAAAGGTAGGACTGAAAATCCAGACCTAAAAAGGAGAAAGGAACAGTGAAACACACAGGTCAAAAAACAAACACACACAACAAACTGGCGCCCCAATAAAAATGTCCACACACCCACAAAAAACAAATTAAAAAAAATGACCCAAAAATGCCACAAAAACTAAATCCCTCAATCCAGCTTACGCTGTTACTGTTCCTATGAATGTAACAAGGCATGAAAAGCCTCCATGTATCACTATAAATTCCATCAAGGAAAAACAAAACCCCTTTAGGACCATACTCTTGGATTTCCTGTTACTGTGTTGTGTCTTAGCACCTCAATGTGCTAGACAATTTCCAGAGCAGGTCATTTGTTTCAGTGTCTGCTTTCATCATTTGTTTTATTTTCAAAAATTAGCACGTAAGAACTAGCGTGGGCTTCCAAAGGCCTATCACTGACAAAGAAAAATGCAAGTACGTTTACCATCTCCTTTTCCTTGAGGATCTTCATTTGCTTTACTTGCAATAATATCTACAAAATACCAGAACACAGACATATTGAGTGTTTATTACATTAAATTGATATTAATATTTGTATAATTGCATCGAGTTCATAATCAAAGACAAAATACCAAGTAACACACGAATGTCAAAATGTTATGCTATATGCAGAGGAATGATGCTTTACAACTTTCAGTATTGACAACTTACCATCTCTGACTGGAGAAAACACATCTCCTAAACTATTTCGACCCAAATCATCAAAATTATTTAAATCAGCACTTTTCCCATGATCTGTTTCTTTAAATGGAATCACATCCAAGCTGCAACTATGGGGAAAACCTTAAAAGGACAGTAACATTCAGTTAGTAATTGACATTTTCCAAAAATAACATACATTATCCCTAAACGATCTCACAGCAAGCATGATGCCCAGTAAGTCCACCAAGCTACTTTAGAAGCTTCTACAGATTTCAGTTAGGGGGTCAACTTTAACTTCCTCATTTGGACTGTCATCATAGGTGAATATAAAGACAAGCTAAGATACTTATTAACAAAAATAAAATACAGTTGGTTTCCTTTCTTCTTTTTAAAAAGGAGAGTTGTCAAATGGGAGAATGCACTCATTTTCAGGTAACTCTACCTAATGGATGCAGCAGATTTATGATGTATCACATGAAATGAAAACCAATGAATGCACTTTCTGCTGGTGATCACACTCAGATGATCAAAATTTAAATTTATTCTGCAAGAAGAGAAATCTGCTTCACTGGAGTCGTTAAGCATTCTAAGGGAAATTCTATGTAACATCTATTTTAAAGCTTACCTGATGTTAGGCTATTCTCTGCTTATTTCTAATATTAGGAAATTAGAGTGGGGTTACAGTTGCAGACAAAAGAAACTTGTTACTAGGCCTTTCCCCACTCCACCCTCAAGCCCATCCCTGACCCAATCCAGGGGAAAAAAGTTGGCTTTTGTAGGTATGGTAGAAGGGACAGTTAGCTGAAGAATGAAGCGTATCTTAAGTCCAAACAATCCCCAGTAATTATTCAAAGTACAGCTTTTAGATGAGAAATACACAAAGAAATGAACTGCTAAGATAACGACCTAAATAACTTTCACAATTTAGTATGTTTGAAAATCAGATCAGGAGGACTGTAAGCAAGCCACTATTCTGCCCTCATTGAACTCCTAACTCTAGGAGTGCCTAAATTTTCCTTCTGTAAGTTAAGATCTAGGCAAATAGCATGAGTGTTGTGCAATCCATAAATAATTCTCCTATAAATAAATTACCTGTACATGCAAAAGCTTTACTTTGTACCTACTTTAATTAAAACAAACAAACAAGCCACTGTTCATAAAAACCTCTAACTACTTCTCTACATGGGATTACCTGTTCAAGTGATCCAAATGTGTCTCTGTGGATGACTACAATTAATCATGTCCAAGTATTTACATAAACTGGGACCTGAGTTAGGTTTAAGATTTCACTTGTAAGTGTATTAATATAGCACATTTTCCACTCTTCAGATGTGTCAGTTGTGACACATACATAGGATTGCACTTGCTAGTTAAGTAAATACTTGGCATACTAGTCAAGTATTTGAGTCATAGTCATACTGAGTCAAACTAGAAGTGTAATATCAACCTGTGCCAGAATCTACAGAGGATTTACATGGAAAAAGCATAATATAAAATAGGGCAAAATGTCTTTTGTATATTGTATATTTTTATATTATTGCATATTTTTATATTTTGTATATTTTTACCCATACCCAGTAATCTAAATGTAGTAAGGACCTAAACCAGGGGACGGCTGTTAAATAGAAGTTTATGGGAAGCCAGCTCAAAGTACATCCAAACTTCTCATCACATTCTGAATTAATTTATACTTTTGTACTTTAAAATACCTGTGACAAAAAGCCCTAGTCCATTTATAAGCTGTATGAACAGATTTTTTTTGTTTTAAATATGCTATCAGATCACCTTACTGAATGTCCCTTACTTCTCCAAAGTTAAACCCCATAATCAGGGTCTAGAAGAGCTTCCAGCAAACAAATGCAGTTTGTGGTCTCTCATCCATTCCCATTTTCAAGTTTAAAGGCCGTATCTTCTGAAGGATACGGAGGTCTTTACTTCTATAAATTGAATGTTCACTTTAGTGAAAAATATTTGTTTGTCTTGGTAGGCCTTTATTTTCTTACAACATGTATTTATTATGCATGGTCACATTTAAGGGGTAACAGCCACTACATCTTCAAGTAAAGATAATAAATCATATATTTTAATGGATTTAAATGTTCCACAACATTCAATAATGTTGATTAGCAACACTTACATACATAGGAAGCATTCTACTTCACCTCGTAATTCACTGCATACCCAAGGGAGGTCATTAATACGTATCTCCGTGGACTGCAGTGGCTTATTGCCTAATTACTGTTGCTAAATGTATTTCTCTTTATTTAAAAAAGGGAGGGGAAAAGTGCTGTTGCATTAAAATAGCTTGAGGATTTTTTCAAGAATCAAAAACTAACAGTGTTACCGATTTGACCATATTTTCAGAATTCTTGAATTAAATAAAATTTTAAGAGCACATTTCACATAGTGGCAGAATTTTAGAATAGTGCTTAGAATTCTTATAAAGAGCTTGCTAATTTCAGAAGCATAAATAGCAAGTACAGTTATACAACTAATCATACTTCCAACTATATTTAACATCTTTCCTACCATGTGATCTTGGAATCATGCTTCACACAAAAATACAGTTCAGTTCTCACTTGGGTCTTTGGACTAGTTTTTTTTTTTCCCTTGTGTTTTGTTTGGTTGGTTTTTTTAGATGAGGTCTGTTACTCTGGTTCATTAATAGAATTACAAACCATTAGCTCTGCATTCCATACAGACATTGTGTCAGAAAATACTTTAGTACATAAGGATAATCTACAGGAAGTCAGAACGCAAGAGATTAGCCCCTCTATGTGGGGCTATCACCACATCACCATAGAGTTTTCTCTTTTAAAGTTTGTATTTAAACTTTTACTTCAAGTCCAGAATTTTAGACTTCACATGTCTAAAGCTTGTAGTAAGACCCAGTTCACTCCCCACAGTCTCAAAGCACAGCTAATGCAGTAGGGAAGGGAAAAGAAGGTACAGACGTGCATGCACATATGCACAGGTCTTTCAAACACTCTTCCCCCAGTGAAGTTTTTATACCGCAATGGTCAAGGCATGAAATATTCCTTCCATCTTCTACATTATGCCAAATATGATTATAAGAGTAAGAAGAATACACTACCTGTTTTCTCCTGAAGAACCTCTCCTCCCTTATTCTCATTTGGCAATGCCAAATGAGATGAAACTGTTGCTGATGCTTGAGAGGCAATGTTTTTCATGCCAATATTTTGAATTCCTCCAAGATTACTACCAGTTTTGACTTCTACTCTTTTGGATACAGGTTTATTTGAAGAACCCGTGAGGTTAGACTGAGAAAAAAATAGAATGAATTAAGAGAAATTATTATTCTGTCAGCTAAGAAGTAAAAATATAAACCAATATTCCTTCTGTTTCAAAATACTAAAAAAAAAAAAAAAATCAGTTCAAGTTGCAAAGGTTGCCTAGGAGATATGCTTTTACAAATATAAAAAAAAAAAGTATCTTAATGTAACTTCAAAGAACATGGGAAGCATCTGTATTATTTTATGAATACTTTGGGGACCTGCAAAAAAATAGCAGCAGAGCTTAAGGTAACAATGGAGTGACCTGGCACAATCCAACTTTGATCCTAGGCTTAAGCATGGGAAAAATAAGAGATTACATTATTAGGGACTCCAAATTGCAAAGCAATAGTCAACCACTAGCAGCAAGTGTGCTAGAAGAGGAAAGCCTCAGAGTGGTAGAGAATCCACTTCAGAGGTTCTCTCCGTCTCCACTGAATGGACGTGTGGGGCTTCTGGATAGAGTAGAGCCTAAGTCAGTCTTGGAAGAACCTCTTAAGTGTTCTCTATTATTTAATCAACTTCTCCACCATTTATACGTGCCTGCAAAAGACCATATATAAGACCATGCAAAATACCTCAAGACAGGCAGCTGTGTCTTTTCTTCTTAAGCGGAAGGGCCATTACAAACCTTTCTGTTACTGCGTACAAATGAATCTAAGGTGCCACAAACTGAACTGTGGCAGCGTATTCACACCAGGAAATTTAAAGTTTCACTGATTTCTACACCGATGCCAGGAGTGGGGGGAATTCCACATTAAAGTCCCCTAAAATGCCCTTAAGATGGAGCAATTTATAATTTCTATGTTGGTATGAACCATTTTTTTGATATCTATAATGCTTAGAAATTGAACAGTAACATTTTTTTACAACTCAAAATTATGTTTGCTTTCACTAATCTGCATATTGAGCAAAAAAGGGAATTTTTTTTTACCTTGGAAAAAGTGCTACTGAACTGAAGACGTATGCATTTCACACAGCCTTTGTGAGCAGTAACTGTTTTCACTGGTGATGTCAGTTGTCTTAAGTCGTACTGGCAGATTTTTCCCCGGGAACATCCTATAGCCAAAGTAGTACCATCAGGCATGAAGTCTACTGTTGTCAGTGGAAAATCAGCTACTATTGTTGTCAGTAATCTTCAAACAGGAGAGAGGATAGGTTAAAGAAGCTTTTAGAGTTCAAAAGTTAGACTTTTCAAAACAGACCACCTAAAAAAAATAATATAAAAGCTTTCATAATTCAGCTACAGGTCAGTAGTTCCACTTCTCCAGTGACAATACTCTCCCATATTTAAGGCTCACTACCTCAGCAACTCTCTGCATCACAGTTATGTCTTGTATCTTGAACTAGAAAAGCAGGCAAGCTAAGCTCAGGTGGCTGCAGGTCCTCACAGGCTGTACTGCCCCTCACAGAAGCCAACCGCTCTGCATCAACAAGAAAAACCCATACACAAGCACTTGGGAGTGGTCACTCATATGCAGCACCTCAGTTAGTTCCCACATACCTTCTTTCTTTTTTATTGTTTGGTTGGTTGTCTTTTTTTTTTTTTTTAAATGAAAATGCAAAATAGACTACAGGACATGTTCTCCAGTAGCGATATACAAACCACTTCAACCATTCTGAATGTGGTCTGAATTAAATATTTCATGTCATAGTTAGGCATGCTTTTTCAGTTTATAAAAATCAAATAAGGATCCTATAAAATCAATATACTCACTTTTTACTTGAAGTGTCATAGAGAATAATTCTTTTATCCAAACCTACAGTTACAAGCAGCAGCTTATTGACTGGAGAAAAGCAGATTTCTGAAGCTGGTGCTTTATGAGTATTTTCAAAATTATGATATGGGTTCTGGCTATTTACATCCCATAGAGTTACATTTCCACTGTCAGAAACACTGCCCAGCAAAGATTTCTTAAAGGATGAATATTTCAAGTGTCGAACAGGCTGTAAAACAGACATTAAAAATGAATTGTAATACCACTATTAAACACTATATTAAATTGTTTTATAAACATACAAATACATTAGGAATACAGCTGTTGCATTAAATTGAAGTAGTTTACAAGGGCTGGCCACTCTAAAAAATAAGGAGTTAAAAAAAAAAGTTCATTTCGCATTACAATGCCATTTTTGCTGTTGGAGGGCAGACCTTTTTTTTTTTTGTGTGTGTGTGTGTGTGTGTGTGTGTACCAGTATAGGGTACCATATGAGCTAATCAGCAAAATGAAGGACAAGGAAAAAAAACAGACGACTCCTAGAAAAGTTTCTTGATTTTTCAGCAAGTATCATGCCATCATACACACTACCATAAAAATCCCACACCACATCTAAAATTAAAGGAGTGAAAAGCTACATTATTTCACTGATTGGTCTCCTGCCAAGAATGTTAAACTTAATTCCCCTCCACTGATTTTAAGGCCTTGGATATAAGCCAATTTCATAAGACACATAGACTCCAGAGTTATGCAAGTGTGTAGATCCTGCAGAAGAACAGAATTCACACTGTGAGCTAGGACCACAGAAAAGGATAATCTGCCTGGTTCATCATATGCAGCCTTGCTATCACAGAACCATGTAATACAGGAACCTAACTTGCCTTTCAGAAGCAGGTAAGTATTTTGTTTCCACCATATTGCTTCAGAACCTCACTGCTCTTATACTAAATTACAATACTTAATTTTCAGATTAATTTTATTTATGACCCATTTGCACCAATTCATTCCTGTGACAATAATGCCCTTACACTTTAATAGTTTCCTAACTTCCCAGCGCTGCTTTTCCCTGTTTTAATAAACAGCCACCTCAACTTCTTTCAGGCTTTATTTTGCTATAAACAGTAAATGAGACTCAGTCTCCTCAGGCTGTTTTTTCAGTATCATCACAGTCTCTTTGCAGCTCTCCCAGTTTGAACCTTTCTTGAATATGGACAACCAAAATCTCATATGATCCTCACAACTTTTTGCTACTGCCTTTGCAAAGGCGGTAACACTTCCTCCATTTTGTACTGTTAAATGCTAATCCTGACATATCCTAGATCGCATTTTGTTTTTTGTGACCCAATCTGTTTTGGTTGCTCATGGTCATTTTATGTTCAAGAAGCCCAAATCCTTCTTACCTTTGGGAATTTTCAAATCCTAGTCTAATAAGAAAAGCCTCAGTTGTAACCTAAGTCAGGTACATTCATTTCTATAGTCACAGTTGTTCCCATGTCTATTATTTCAATCATTTTTGGATACTGACACAATCCTCTCTCTTATGGGCAATACCTTCCAGCTGTGTCTCATTATAGCTCTACTTCTCATATCATAACCATTACTGAAAATATTAAACAAGAGTAGTTACTGATAACCCAAACAAATATTTTCCTTCAGTATCACCTACTGTCTTCTTTCTTATAACCAATTCCTTACCCATCCTCAAATCCTTTCTAACCTCCATCCACTCTAATATTTTCTCACAAGGCACTGAATCAAGTGCTTGACTCAAGTCCATACAGATGAGAGCCATTACATTTTATTTGTCTGAAAATGCTCTCAAAAAGCTATTATATTATTCTAGTATAGACCATAGTGCAGTGCACTGTACTGGATTTTATCCTGTTTCTAACATAATTTTAATGGAGATATATGTTGGTTCATATGCCTCCAACATGATTTCCAGCACTTATATTGCATGTCTCACTGGAAGCCTAATTCCTCCACAAAGAAGTGGCACCCTCAACTGCATATTCAAATAGGACAGGAAAACGACTGCTTATAATTAATATGATCCTCTACTGAACATGATGGAGACATTTTTTATCTACATTTTCCAGTTTATTTACATATAAAAAAGAAATATTGAGGGACTCAGGAATAACAGCTTCAATTACATACCTGATCTACATGGGAAACATACCTGTCCCTCACAGTTCTCTCAATTTTTCACCTCCAAATACCTTCCTCACCACCCCGGCATCTGCTCATGTTCCATTTTCCTCCCTCCTCTGTCCTCCTGCCCACCAAGATTACTCTCTCCTAGCTCTCCTCAAACCTCCTTTGCTATCCTACCAAGTCTCCCATTTCCTTTTCTCATTTTGCCTCTAATCTCACAGGCCCAAGGCAAGTTTTCCATTTTCTTTCATATACATACCTTCCCCGTATTACCTCTGTTGCCCACTTCTCATTGAAGTCATGGTGTTTCCTCAGAGCAGCTGAACAATTTAATTTCAGGTTGTCAATGAAGGAGGTGTGAGGAAGCTCCTATTCATTCCTCATTTTCACCGAATTAGGTTAGCAACAAATTGCTCTTGCAACAATGCAATTGTTAGATCAGACTCAAGGAACAGGGGCACTTAAATTTGTGCAAACTTTTATGAGACAGTCAAATGCATCATACTGGCGTCCCTAACAGTATGCCACATGTCCGAGTTTCAAACTCCTGCCCAGACAGCTGGAGGCATGAACCTCTTTTCTGAAAGGCTCCTTGACAAGACAAAACCAAAATAGTTCTCCTAGAAGTGAGTCAGTTTGAAGCTTTCTTTAAAAAATACTTTATCTGAGAAACATCTGGGTGAAAAAACACAGCTTTAAGCCTACCACAGTTAGAAACAGCAGACAACCAAGCCTCATGTGGAAAACCATGAAGTATTAAGATGCAGGTGGTCAAACTACAGCACTTACAATAAGTCTTATCTACATTTTCCCTATTTCCCACCCCATCCATAATCAAAGAGAAAATTAGGCACTGTATTTTAGAAGGAGAATAGGCTTCATAAAGTAGCATTCAGTCTTCATCTTTAAAATATGAACTCAACTTTACATGAATTTTATAACAAAAACAAACAAAAAACCTATATGCTATCCAGTGTTCACTGCAGTGAAGTTAAAACACACGTATAGACACTATGAAAGCTGACAAGTATACACAGAAAAATATCTTTTTTGACCCACTGCCGCAAGGGAATGGGACTCCTTGTAAGCAACAGAAGAACTATTACACTTGATCAGACATTCGAGCTATTTAATCCTACGTTGTAGGTATAAAAGTATTTGATACTGAAGTTCTGCAGAAGGTAAAAGGGACCCCTCCCCACACATGATAAGAGACAGAGACAGGATAAGCTAATGCTAGGCATAAGTCTCTTTCAATCAGTTAAAAACAAAAGTTATCTCCTTTATAGTATTCTTTTCAAGTTACTTTTCCAGCCTTCTCCCTCTGATTAAATTTATTGCCAAAGATGATGCTAAAATAAAAAAAAATCATTATTTTTTAGCTGTGTGTTTACAAAGAAAATGTTACCTTTTATGTCACTGAATTTTTTAACATTTTAACATTTTTGTTTAACACTTAACATAAGAGTGTACACAGTTATTTCTTTCTATTGTCTTCAGTTCCTTTATTTTCTCTTTACCAGACTTCTTCCCTGCTTCTAATCCCTCTGTACCTCTACCAGTTCTAATTCTGCAAACATTTTTGAGCTGTCACGCATACTATTCTCAGTCTATCAGATTCTATCATCTATTTTTAATGTTAATACACATTTCTTTATCTTACTTCTTATACTTTCTAATGTCTTTGTTTATCTGACAAGAAATTAATACATAGTCACAGTCTTCAGCAAACAGTCTTTAAAAATTGTTGATTTTGGGGTGGCATGACAAAGTCACACAGAACTTTAGTACACTCCTAGTCAAGCTTTTCCCAAAGCAGCTGAATTTCGTTTGCCATCTCCTCTCCCTTTTCCCAAGTTACAGTTTAGAAACAAGAGTTCTGTTACTTAGATTTTGAACACCGGGGCCTCCAACTCAGCCCAGCTGAAAACCGCCCCAATACAGTTCCTTGGCCTTGGTACTGCCAGCAATAGGAACCATAAGACTAAAAAGTGCACACAACCCCTACGGTTTATATGGTTTCACTGAAAGGTTTACTAGTTACAAGAAAAAATTAGCTAAGGATGCGGGAGACAAGTTAAACGCTGTCACTTTTCTGAAAAGAAGCCCAAGAATATTTACAGATTACAATTTCATCCACAGAATCAAATGGCAAAGGTGTGGGACATGTTTCATAGGGAAAAAGTCTGACTAGGCAAGCCTAAGTATCTTATCTGAATTGGATCTAGGGAGATATTTAAGATACTTCCTTTAAGTCAGTATAGCTGTTCACTTGCTGAAACTCAGTTGTCTGAAAAAAAATGGGAAGGGGACATTTATTTTCTAATGATTTTAGTTACGACTAATAAAATAATTTCAGGATTATTAAGAATGATGCAATTATTTGGAAAGAGTCATGTTTTGGAACTAACCTGTCAAGACTAGGGAGGAAAACGAAAACCAAAAACCCCAACAAACAACAAAAGAAGCAAATATGAAGCAGGTTTCACTACATGTTAGCAAGTACAACTCCTAATGATTTCTGGAAATTCTGTGCACACAGAACTACCAGAAACACATTTAGTGCAAGGTACTGAACCTGCAAAAAGGCAATTAAGTCCTCCTTGGAACATTTTACCAGTCACTGTAGTACAAAAAGCTATATACATCTTTTTGCCTTAGCTGTGATTGGAGTAGTTTTTCTGCAGAAAAGTACATTTTATCTTTAAGCTTCACAGTAAGACAGCCAAATGACGAACAGTGCACTTTAGAAAATGGTTGATCCATTGCTCGTTCCACTTAAGGTTTTTCACCACTGGAAAGCAAGTGAAAAGCCCAAAACTAAACCAAAAGTAGTCTAGCATCCCTGATTACCTTAGGTAGAAAGGAGATTAAGAAACTATACTATCTTTAACTTAGCGAGCCTTGTAAGGAAGAAGGCAGATGTGAAGACAGTTCATGGCTTTAAAAGCTAAAGACTATTTCACTATATGGAGTGACCAGAACTCATCACACGTCTTTACAAATCAGCCAGCTGTTCAAACAACTAAACTAAATCCTGTTGCTAGGAGAATAGCACCAGGCAGTGAAGACTTGAACAAACATTATGTTTCAAAACAAATGTTAATTCATCCTCACAACAGTAAGCAGATAATCTGGTAGTCTAAATGAATACCAACAGCAAAGACAAATTATGGGATCTGCAAACAACTCTGTGCAAGAACTCAACTCTAATAAAGCACAAAGTTGTTTCTAAATAGAAATCAATTAATAGAATATAGGTCAATACTCATAGGAAAAGAAAATTGTTTAAAGTCACAGAAAACACTGCGACCTTGGGCTATTCTACTACTTGTAGAGTCTATATACAATATCTGATATTAACTGGCAAGGAAACTACATTCCATCATGCTGAATCAAACACAGCCAAGCTAAATTTTATAAGCTTAGTTTGACCTCACATTCCCCAATTGTAAAAAAAGTTACTAGGGAGCAATGACCCTTATTAAGCCAGACAGCTAGTGCCAGGATCAAGCAGGGCAATACACTGTGTATCTATTCAAGCTTATTCTTAGAAAACTGGGCCCCTAAACTGTAAGTCAAGTAAAGGCTTTTAAATTTTATAGAATTACACAAGTCTCCAGATATTTGCTTCACTGCACAATTAATCCTGCAATTCTCTACAAGCACCAATTAAAAACCAAAATAAAAAATAAAGCTATTTTTGCACATAAGAGCAAAGATAATTTTTAAGATGTAAGATAAGCTGATAAACTGGGACCTCCAAGTAGCCATCCCATTACACCATTATAGCTCGATTCTATTTTAAATTAAGGCTCCAATCAAATAACTGCCCCCCTTTAGAAAATGTTATAGACCCTTCAAAAAGTGAAGAGTAGCTCTGTGCTTGCAATTACTTTGATTTAACACTTCAAATATCTTTACCCATCTTAAAGGTCACTCAGCTTTGCAGTAGGCCTCTTGATTTCATCTGCCAAAATAGCTATTCACTGCATCACTTATTCCTCATCACTTTTTGGTGTAAAGAGTTGAATATATCAAACAGGTTGATGCAAATCACCCTCATAAGAATTTCTTCATTGTCCAATTAACTAGCAGCATAGTCCCCACTCTGGATATTCACTTCAGCTGTGTAATCCAGCCATGGATTTCCCTGTAGCTCCTGCCTTACATCCACGTTTTTCATAAGATCACAACAATCGAATCAGAAAAATGGACTGACTATATAGATGGATTTTTTAAGATCAAAGTATGAACTACAATTTTGCTTCAATATAAGTATGAGACTGGTGATAGATCAAAGACACTGCAGCACCTAAGAGCAGAGTTAGTTTGAATTTAACAGAGATTTTTCAACAGAAAGCATACCACAATTCCTGTGATGCTATAAAGTCGTAAGGGATTCTTCATCAAGTTATATTGTTCATGCTAGACAGGAGAAAAATTTAACTTCACACTCTATCTGCAATCTAGAACTGAAAAAGCTGTTGCAGTAACAGAAAATACCTAAATCACAACTTCAGTATTCCCTGTGACATTAAAGGTCAGGTTTAGGACCAAAGCAACAGTTCTGCATCCCCTAGGCAGCTCCTACCTCTGTAAAAATAACTCGGTAAAAAAATAAAAGAATGCCCAGAACACAAACACTTAGCTCTGCCTAAGACAACATTCACACTAAGAATGCACACTGGCACTTCTAGTGGGACAACACAGCTCATTTACTACCACAGATGCCCTTACATCAAGGGAATTCCCCATACGATACCCACTAATCCTGCAATATCTTTTGAGTCTGCAGAAAGGAATTGCAGTGGAAACCCCTGACAAGCCACATGCTTTGTGTTTGTCTTTTGCACAGTTTTCCTTCAAATTAGTTATCCAAAAATCTCACCTAAACACGTAAGTAGGTTATATAAAATCTCATTGCTTTTCTCTTTGAGCAGCTGTGCAATTTTAATCTCCAGATGAAATAAATTTATTATTTCCAAATGCAGGCTTATATTCACCCCTACTGTACAGATGGGTCTGTTCAGTTGTAAATCTGACTACTCTGGATAAGTCAGAACGCAGCCTACATGGCCTTTGTTCTTTGCAACAACATGCATCAAGCAGTGCACTGAAATCCTGCTTTGGTTTGTAAAGCCAACTGGTTTTTGTTCAGTTCTGAGATGTGTAGAAGTTTGTTCTTGAGGAACCAGAGTCTACAAAGTAAAGTTTGCTGTAACCTGTATATAAAGGTACTTGAGAAATTTGTATTTCAATGTTAATTATAATTTGAGACTAGTATATACACAACGGTCTGCTTCTTTCCTTTCCATACGTGTACTCTTAAAAATTAAAAGGAAACAGATTAACAAAACTTAAAAGCTCTTGATATGGACTTCCAATTTCTAAACACTGAATTAAAAGCTTCATACCTGCAAGGAACTTAATACAGATAGCCTACCTGACGGCTGCCATAACCAAAGGGAGTACTTGATAAGTTGGTAGTAACACTGTGTAGGATAATTTCACCACTCAAAGATCCAGAAGCAATGTAGCAATCATTCCAATTGTATGTAATACACGTGACTTCATCTTTATGATCCTGTGGGGGAGGGAGGTTAGGGAGAGAGGGTTAAAGACATTCAGGATAACCATATTCCTTCCTAATATGTGTTTTCGCATAAAAACTTCAGCCTGATGCTTCTTCCTGACCATCTGTAACATTTAAAAAAATTCTTTAAGAGTTATTATGGAATACCCTAGAAAACAGCAGCAAAACATACTGAAGGTCAGACATTGTATTGTAACCACTGTCTGATTGTTTTCAGAAGATTGTTTTAATAAATTAGTAAAGATGATGCTGTAATTATATACAATATATTAATACAACAACCATAGAGATATCTACCACAAGTGTCATTAATGTTATTTTGAAAGTAAAGTCTTCCAAAAACCAGGGATATTTGAATACACTTTCAGTTAATCTGATGTACTACTGCCAACTTCCTCTTCTGTCAGTTTTATTATTAACACATATATTTACCAGATAGCTTTTCAATGTAGTCATTTGCAATGATGATATTGTGTTTACTGGATACATAGGGGAAGACAATCAAGTACTTCTAGCCCAAAAAGAAGAAAAAGATTAAAGTATTGTATTAGCTACTTTAGTAATTTTGTTTCAAACTCTATAACTTTAAAGGTCCAAGAAAAAAAGAATAAATCAAAGCTAAAGTTCTATAGCCTCTTTAACAGTGGTCCTAAATGAGGGCAAATCATCTACTGACAGCATCACAGAAATATTCTATACTATCCTAAGTTTTGTGCACCGTAACAAGGTTTTAGAGAATTCATACTGGATCAGTTAGAAGATGACACCCACCTCCCATTTTTGTATAACATTAGTTCTACTACAGTATTCTACAAATACAAAAGTGTTTTTTAGTTTGACATATCAGAAATTGCAACTATCTGAAATGTTGCCCATGGAAAAACCCCATCAGCGAATATCAATACAAATGCAAAAGATAAAAAGCCTATTCTGAAATTTTTATGACAGAATAATATATTATATTTAAATGTAATCTATAAAATATAAACATACATTATTCTAGAATTGTACTCTGAAGACGTTAAGTATGCTTGTTAAATTAAATTTGCTATTTACAGCACATAAAGAACACAAACTTGAACAAGACACATATGGGTGCTAGCTCCTATCTGTGAACTTGATCCTACAGATGCATGACTTAGAGAAAGTATGTTTTTTACAGTTGGCAGCAAAACCTGGAAGTCATGAAAGCTACAGTTCTTCCTCAGACAAACTTACCTTAAGGCTACGGTAAGCCCTTCTGGATTTCAGATCCCAGATATTAACTGTGTTATCAAGGCCTCCACTCACAATATATGAAGAACCAGAATTCAAGCTTACACATGTCTGTTTTCCCTGATGGAGAAAGGGGAGAAAAAAAAGAAGTATGTTAAAGATAATTAAGGGATTTATTCGAATCTACCTGAAAGCATACTGATGAGCGTTTTCATCTTCATTAACACAGATAGTCCCACTGACCAATGGAACTATTGATACACTAGTCATTTCCCATCAACAGGCATTTAAAATCCAGTCCAGTTTTGACATGTTTAATACACTTTAAGATTTAAATACATTAATTAATAAACTCTCAAATGCTCACATTTTCCCATTCCCGTGTCAAAATTTTTTTAACACTTTTTCTTCCTATATGCATTTTCCCCTTAGATTATAGTTCTCTAAAGTGCAATGATAGACTTCTATTCAGGTACTGAGTTTTAAGAAGAAAATGCTAAGTTTTTTTCTAAACTCCTTAAAAGAAAATCAAAAAGTTGTCTAAGTCATGTACTTCACATTCCCTAAACATTATAAAGAATATTATAGCAGCAAACTTCATAACTCAGTGAAGTGATTCTTTTTAAAATAATCACTGAAGTACCAGCTTCTGAAAAATGTCAATCTTAATGATAGACCTACATTGATAGAGGACAAATTATTATTCAGTTCTATCATGTTGAAAATTCACTTTTAAGTTCCTGAGATTTGAATTAAGAAAAAACAAGTCCACCTAATTATTGACATGGTAAAATTGGAAATGATGGCATTAGTTATACATCAAATTCAGTGAAGTCTCCAGGACAAACACTCCACCTTTGAAAGTGTTTGCTTCAGCAACCTAAAAGCCCGGTTTGAACACCTTTTCAGAAAATTTGCAGACCAAATTAGCATTACAATAGCTAATAATAGCTATCCAAGGAGAATAATTAGAATGGTTTAGGACACTAACAAGTCATTCAAGTAACCCTGTCAAGAGACTCTTCTAAAACTAAGTCCAGCTTTCTGAAGAGTTAACAGCAGCACGCTTCCATTTAACAGGACTGTCCGTCATCGTCCCCCCCACCCCCCCGCGACTGTAACCGAAGTGCTATTTCACCTGTTTCCAGAAGCTAGCACATGTACATTCCAAGAACAACCTTTATACAGATTCCTATGTTTTTCAATGTACAATTCACAGGAATGCATAATACTGACAATTCAAGTTGGAAATTAAGTTCAAACTTGAGCTCTGTTCGTCGCCTACACATAGATCAAGTTTGAACCACTGACTGCCTCGGGCTATCACGCTGAGCTTAACAGGCAAATTCCCCTCGCAGAAAGCCACCAGCATCAGACGCTAGTACAACCGCATTTGAATTTTCTTACTGGTAGAACTATTATAGAAGCACTACTCCCCCCACCCTTTTTTATATAAAAAGTATGTGTTTAACTATACACAAGGAAATAGTTTTTATATACATGACATAACTCTAACAATACTAATATTAAATTGATCCCCACATGCATAACAGATGCGATAAAACCAGTACAGAACATGGAGTGGGGAAGAAAAAAAAAGTGGAACAGCGTTAGTCATACTTACTCCTTCCGCTATTTCAAAGAGTGGAACAGGTTTGCTTTTACAGCTTGAAACAACTATTTTATCACCAGCAGCAGAAGCAGTGGCCAGGTATCTATCTTAGTCACAAGTTATGGACAATAATTCTATTATACTGGTGATTAATAAAACAACAGTAAGCTTCCCTTACTGAACAGAAGACAGATTGGTTAGACAGTCTAAAGCACCAAACCTTGAAGAGACCTAGAAATAGAAACATAAGGCTATTTTCCAAGCTTTCATTAAGAAGCTCTTGCATTAACTACAGCCCTTACTTCCAAATACAAGGCAGAGCAATTTCTTTGAGAGAAGAGAAATATCTGGCAGATATTATTTAAGAGCTCTTTACCACTAAGGCAGCTTATCCTGTCTACAATTTTTTTTGCTCACCACCCCAAAGTAAGAGCCCTATCTATGACTAGAGTTCAAAGGAATGTCTGTTGCTGTTAGCAGACTATGGATTTAAAGAACAGTCTTGTTTGTTACAAACGCTAACTACTTCACCATTTAGTTTTTGGAGTACAATGAATGTTTGCTAATTTGTCTCCCTCTGAGGGAAAAAAAACAAACATCCAAAAAGAAACTTTTATGACACCAAGCAGCTCAAAGTAGTAAGAAAAGCCTTCAGTGTAGTACTACAGAGCAGGGAAACTGCCTCTGCACCCCCACCAAACTGAGTAATCATTTCGATCCGTGTCCTGTATGTCTCCAGGCCCACTGAAATTTTATATTTGCTTATTTAAGAATACAGGTTAATTGGCTGGATTTAATGCCAAAGAACTCCTAGGCAGATTACTGCTTGCTATTTCTTTCATTATTTTAAGGTAACATTTTAGCTCACAGAATTATGCAGAACCAAAACCAATGCTTTACCCCTAACAAACACTCAAAAGTATATAGAGTAAGATACTTCATTGTTTCAGTTTAGGGGATCAAGAGGAGACTAGGCAGAAGAAAGCATAACAAGACAGACTGTCTATAGCTGAAGTTTACTAAACAACACAAATATGTATGTGTGTATATATTTTATTTATGCTTTAATTTCTCTGCAAGCTCCATAGCTAAAACATTAATTTGTGCTCTGATTGCTTTAACTTTTTTCTCATACATCCACTTACTTGCAGACTTAGAGGACAGACATATTCAGAATTTGCAGGACTTAACTGTTATGTGCCAGCATCCTGTCCTCTTTTATACCAAGATCAGACATCACCACCTTTTCCCGTGACAGCCATGCAAGCTGTTCACCTGACACTGCACTGTTTTAATGAAATTTCTCATATATTCACCTAACAACTGGCACTTCCTATCATTGTGCCGTAATAGGCTTCCAAGACAGAGGTGAAACACGTAAATGGGCCAGATCCATTGTTCATGCATAAATCACTACTAACCTATGGATGTTTTCCTATACATCCAACACATTTGTGCTTCCACTGTAAATTCTAGAAACAGCACAAAGAAAACTAGTGCCTAGAGAGTAAGAGGTAAGTGTATTCTATCAGACTATCAGAAACAATGAGAAAGCTGTTCATGGGGGGAAAAAAATCAAAACACACCACCAACAACACCAAACCAAAATCTTTCATTACAATTTTCTTCTCTACACCTTGTATAGAATTTTACTACATTAGCGATTGCTTTGTTCAACCTTGTCAGTAAATTAAGCACTGCCTTGAAAGTGAATAGTGTAATCAACTATTGAAGAAACAAATGAGTAAGCTTTACAGTTGGTAGGCAATTCAAGCATATCATAATCATTAAAAAAGTGTTAGCCTCCTAAAGGATGAGAATCTTCTTCAGAAGCATTTACCAGCATGAGTTTATTTTGTAAATCATTTCAACACAGACAACAACAAAGTTTTCTTCACAATATATACAAATCTTTTTATGCAAGACTTCAAAACTGCATCAGGCCTGTGATTTACAGACACTTTAATTTAAAAAAAAAAAAAATCACTGATGTTTTGCAGAACACCCAGAAAACTATGGCTGAAACTGTAAAGGATACTATTGCTGGCCCAACATAGTGAGCTGACTGGATGCGAGGGTGTATGTGGGTTGAACTGCTCCAGCACAGTTAGAGATGAGGAATCCCATATTTTAACGTCATCTCCTGATGAAGCAAAACGTATGCTTTCTTGCATGGCTGCACCTGTTTCGGCAAAAATAAATTAAAAAAATGAAAATACATATATATATAAAGGAAAAACATACAACAGGTCACTTAATGAGTCAAGAAGCATTTTATCTATGTCATTTACTACTGTTTTCTTGATAAAAGGGACATTTATTTAAAGAGTTACACAATTAGTACTGTTGAGCTGAATATGCCTCCAAAAGCAGTAAACACACCACACTTTTGTTACCTAAATTCTTGCAGGAAATGTACACTTTCCTTTTCACAGAGGACAAGCCATCCCCTCTATGGTATCGAGAGACTAAAATGATGCTTACATCTCCACAGTTTACAGCTGCCTAGCAGGAAGCCTTGAGTATTTCAAGTACTCATTTCCCACCAGTAGATGGAGATATACAAGCTAGAATCAAACCGACTGTTGCAAGGAAAGGCTGAAAGTTTGGAACTTTAAGGACTCTCTTCAGTGTTCATCTCACCACCCTACAGGAGACGCCCGAGAATCCTTAAAACTAAGACTTTAACAGTAGAATACGAGCGACGATGAGTCACTTTTCAACGCAGCTTACACAGGAAAAGACCGCCACCAACCAACGTACTACTATTTGTTTTGACTGACACCGTTTTAAGAGTTTTAGGCTAAAAACGTTAGCCTAAACCTAAATTAGGCTAAAAACGGGTTTTAGCCAGGCTAACTGATTCGAGGTTTATTCTCAGCTTTTTACTGCAGGTAATTTTAAACTAGCAATAAACCAGGACTCAGAACGTAAGCCTTTCCTTCGCCTGAAAGCATAACCGCCTTTTTGCCAAAAGTTTCCGGGATGTTTCTACATCGCTTTAGGCCACTAACTCTCACTGCCGAGAACGGTCAAGGGAGGTGCAAAACACTGATACAGTCAGTCAGGAAACTCAAGGGCCACAGCCGCCGTCGCTC